TATACCCCAACAGATTTTCTAGTAATGTGTGGTTTCTAGAGGGTTTCCCTGACTGCCCAGGAGGGTGTGCCTATGTTGACATCCTAATCCTTTCTCCCCAGGATGGGGCGAACTCTTCCAGCACAGAAGGTGTTCCCACAGGTGAGGTCCTCATCTCTGAACGCTTTCCTTCTGTCCTTGACTCCTCTCCCCCGTCTCTGCTTTGTGGCCACCCCGCCCCCAGGCTCCCGCCCGTTGGCTGTCTTCACCCTGACTTTCTCTGCGTTGTTTCAGTTTCCAGATATTAGTGCACACGCCTTACCTCCCTCCCTGTGAACCGTTGGTGGCTGTTGGGTGTCGCGTGCGGTGGTCTCTTCAGGGCACCTGTGGGCTGCGTCTCCCGAGCCGTGCCGGGTTCCGGTCATGGTGCCCGTGCCTCAGGACAGGGAGTAGACCCACTGACCCGGTGGTGAACCACCTCCTCTGCCGCTTGGCCGCAAATCAGGGTCGCACCCGGACCCTCCCTCAAGGGTCCTGCGTGTGTACTGCCCACTTACACTTGGCAGCCACACCGGTGTCCTCATGAAGTTGTGGTCTCACCCTCCCACCACACTGGATGGTCGGCTCTTATCCAGGAGGGTGTGTGTCATTAGGACCCTTGTCGGGACCTGGAGGAAATGGTTTCTGGGATGGGAGGGTTTTCTTCCTGAAACAACAGATAGGCGTCTTCTGTGCTGTTTCTACTTCCCTGTTTACCTCTCTGCTTGGCGAAGTTTTAATTCCTGTGTACATCAAAGGCCATATGCTTTTTCACCCCAGAGCACATTTTAAATTCCTTAATTTATATTCCTTCCTCCATGTATAGACCATTCTCTCTCTCTCTCTCTCTTTCTCTCTCTCTTTCTCTCCCCCGCCTTTCTCTCCCCCTGCTCCCCCTTTACCCTCTCCTGCTACAACTCAGATTCCTAAACTGAGGGTCAGAATGTCTGGTCCCCTGTCCCCCGCCCCCAGCACATTTCCCACAAATGTTCAACACATCAATTCCTTGTCTTTAAAAGATGTAAGATTAAATCGAAGCTCTCTGCCTTGCCAGGTTCTTTGGTTTTTCTGAGGCTGAAATGAAGAAGCAAATTCATTCATTTGGTGTGTAGTCAGTCTTTCGTACCTATCAGGTGCCGAGGTAGATCCTGGGACACATTTCTGAAGGGGACGAACAAGGCCCCTGCCCTCAGGGCCCCAGCACGAGGTTGGGACGTCAGATGTTAGAAGAGGAAGAAGAGGAAGTGTTGGATGTCGCGGTAGGTGCCTGGGAGGAAGTGACTAAGCCTGACCGGGACGGAGACGCGCAGAAACAGCTGTCGGGGAAGGAAAGGCCGCTCCGAGGGAACCGTCTTGAGGAAGTGATACCTGAGGTCATAATATTTGAAAGAAAGCCTATCATACACGGAGCCATGAAAGCATAAGCTCTCAGATGTCACCGTGAGAAACAGTGGCCCCTCCAGTCCCCTGTGCATCAAGGGAAATGGGAAAGCACCGTCGTTTTCCCAAGGGCTGGAGCTCAGACTCGTCGGTAACCTCTGTGCTTTCTGGCGAACCTCCCTTTAGTTCATCCGGATCCTTCTGTGTCCCCCTTCTCTTCTGTCTCTGGTTTATGCCGGCCTAATCTCGGCGCCTGCCTCTGTCCCGTCTGTGACACCGTCTTCCTTACGCCGCTCTCTGCCTTCTCTGTCGTCACGGTTTGCATCCTTCCGTCCGGCGGCCCTGACCCTGCGGCCTACCCCAAAACCCCCACCGCAGACTTCCCCTGCTGAGATGCCCGTGCTCTACAACCTCACAACTGTCCCGGCTACCTCCCTTCTTTGGCTAAACCCCCCTGTCCTTCATAATATAAGCAGCTTCCGGCACTCATGTCCAGAGAGAGGGGAGTATGTCCGCATCGACTGACCGGAGCTGGCTGGCACGGTGCTTAGCACATAGGAAGCTCCCAGGAAACGTTCCTTGACCGATGAGTGAAAGCACCGATTCCCGAAACCTCAGCCTGTCTCTAGGAGTCCCCTGGCTTTTCCTTAATCGCGTGTGAATTCTTTCCTCACATGTGACATGCATATTAAAAACCTTCTTCTCCTTCTGCTGTATAGGATATCAAAAGCTTACCTCTGTTCACAAGGTTTTTATTTTGAATCTACTCTCTTCATTTGCTGTGCACGTGCAACTTTGTTACTGATGCTATTAGTTTGCACACACCTATTTGCTAAGGACAACAGCAGTTGCTGAAATGTCGGTTGTGGTGGTAATTCAGCATCCTGATTAACCAAATGTATTCATTCAGGTTAAGCAGAAACTTTCGAAGGAAACCCTTTGTATTAAGGAAGCTGCTGTGTTTCCAGTTAAACAGCAACTAAAAGCAGTTTCTTTTGAAGAAAAATTTCAAATGTGTACACAGTTTGGTCTTAGCCACTTTGGGTGATACTATTGATTCCTAATGGCAGTAATAATTTAGGATCAGACAACTTTGAGATTTTTCTAAAACAAATGGAATAGTTACATTTTTTAATTTTTTTATTTTTTAAATATAGTTTATTGTCAAGTTAGCTAGCATAGTGTATACAGTGTGTGCTTGGCTTTGGGACTAGATTCCCATGATTCATCGCTTCCATACAACACCCAGTGCTCATCCCAACAAGGGCCCTTCTCGATGCCCATCGCCATATTCCCCTCTCCTCCACCCTCCTCATCAATCATCAGTTTGTCCTTTGCATTTGCAAGTTTTTTATGGTTTGCCTCCCTCTCTGTTTGAAACTATTTTTCCCCCTTCCCTTCCCTCACGGTCTTTTATTAAGTTTCTCAACTTCCACATATGGATGAAAACAGATGATATCTGTCTTTCTCTGACTGACTTATCTCAGCATAATACCTTCCATTTCCATCCACATGTTGCAAATGGTGGGATTTCATTCTTTCTCATTGCCAGGCAGTATTCCATTGTATCTATAAACCACATCTTCTTTATCCATTCATCCCTTGATGGACATTTGGGCTCTGTCCATAATTTGACTGTTGTTGCTAGTGCTGCTATAAACTTTGGGATGCATGTGCCCTTAGGAATATTCACATTTTAGAGGTTATAGAGGTATGCTTAAGACTCATCACTGCAACAGGTTTCCAGAATTGGATCTTAAGTGTTATTAAGTATTCATACATCAAAGATATATAAACCTTACCGTGTTGCAGCAACTAGAAATAACATAGAAAGGATCCTTCCACTTTGGGCATTCTGGTTTTAGTTCTAAAATATTTAAGTACTACCAAAAATAGATTAAGAGGCCCATTGACTTTGTTGTTGTTGCTCATATTCTTTAGTTCAGGACGTTTTACATAATTTAAACTGTGATTTTTATGTAGACTCTACCACAAGGTTCTGACCCATGTGCTCCGGAACAACTCTCAAACGACAGTTTGGTGTTTATCATTTTCTATTTGTTGCCCGACGGGATGTAACCATAAAGTAACGGGATAGTTTTCCCAAAGAAACATTCTAGGAGTTACGGATCTAGGAGGCCCTTGTCCCCTTCAAAGCAGGCACTAGGAAGGCTGCACATTTGTTCCAGTAATGCGGCCGGGCTTAACGTGTTGTGGAATGCCTCTTCTTAAAGTGTCTCTGCACCGCTAAGAAATAACAGAGTAAAATGACATATTATTTTGAATATCCTGAATTGTGACAGAGGTGAATTTGCTTTTTAGTGAGTAGTCAGAAATCATGCCAGGACCTGTAGCAATCAGTACAATTTGGAGTGCTTTTGCAGTCAAAATTGGATGCAAGATAACAAAATGGGCTTTCTTGAACAATACATAAACTGACTCTTGAAATTGATTGTGAAAGAGGAATTCCAGACCCTCGGACCTCGGAATAAGTGTGTAAGCTCCCACGGTAGCTACTCTGAAGGACAATATGTGTGTAGGCTAAGGGGGGAAAATGTATGTGTGTGTTTGCAAAATAAGATCAGTTTTATTACTTTATAGACATACCTTGTAGATGAAAAAAATACTCCTATCATGGAACTCTTTATAAGCAAACTTCTGAATGTAAGTAGAATTTCTGTCTCACCCTTTCTAAGCCTCTTGAGAAATCTGAACTTCTAATAATGACTTACTCTGAATCTTCAGCTTGTAAAAAAGTAATTGTTTACCATTTAAAATGTGGATGCTCTGGGGTTCACTTCACCTTTGTCTTATTAACTTTATTATCTCTGCTATTCATTGGGGTTTTTTTTTGTTTTTTGGGGTTTTTTGGTTGTTTTTGTTTGTGTTTTTAGTGTATCCATCTTTGTTCACTCTGAGACCCCCCAAATGTATTTCTTCATGGTAAAAATATCATTAAGCTTTTAAACCAACCCAGAGAATAAAATCTAAGCTGAAGGTTATTAATCGTTCCATATTGTCTTAAGCTCTTTCTTGTTGCATTGGTTGGTAACAGATTCCTTTCTTTTTAAAAATGGGACCCTGGTATCAAACATCAAACACCTTCTTACAAGAAGAGCATTCTCAAAGATTTTTTAAAAATGAACACTAACTTTGGGGTTCTCATTATGTTTTTTATCTCTGTTATTGGAATCTTTAAAGAAGGAGTGTAGCCAAGCAGCCAGACCAAGTTGCTGTCATGTGGCGTCCCTGGGGAACGTTTGGACCGCCCATGGGGATGGAGCAGATTTGCCCTGCCTTACCAAATTTCCGAATGTATCCCACCACATCCATCATCTCCCAGCCAGCCAGGCCCCTATTTCTTCACTGCTGAGTTGAATAAAGGCAGTGTCATCCTTTGCAAAGAGGCCAAGACAGCTGAACAGTTTAAACTGTTCAGATCCGACAAGTTTGATTGGAGAATTAGGTGGCCCGTGTAGTTAGAGATCAAAACCGGTCACTGGTTTACAGTTCGAAAAAGTCCTACTGGGGTGTTTTCGCCGCAGAGTATTATTTTATGCTACCTGGTAATAACTGTTGCCCAAATGATTATTGTTTTGCAGTTTGGTGATTTAAACGCTGTATCCCCTGGAAATCTGGATAAAGGTAAGAAGTGAAAATCATGTACATTTTTAAGGACTTTTTTTGACTAAGAAATTCTCACAGAGGAAAATGTGGTGGATGTGGAAACGACACATATAACCCTAGATGAATATGAGAGCTATGTCTTTTGGAATCCTCAGTGTTTCTCCATTTCTATGCCTTCTTTATGTCAGAGATATTAAATGGCAGGATTGAATGTAAATGCAGTTACAAACTCTTCTTGACTTTGGCCTGCTGTCCAGTACAGGTAGCAAGAAATTATTTCTGACCGTTGCCAGAGTCCCGGAGAAAAGTGATAAAATTTTATTCAAGGCCTACTCGGCAGGAGAAAAGATTCCTCAGCCTGCCCCTTCTCACCATTTCATATTTTGCATTGGAAAAAACAAGTCAGAGAGAGCGTTGAAGTTGACTGTAAAAAGCAAGCTCAATACTGGGACAGAGGAAAGGGCTCAGAGGCATACTCTTTAGATTGTAAAACCACCTTCGCTACTCAACAGACAGCACTGCATCCCAGCTATGCATTCCTGAAGACATTTGGCACCAACAAAGCCATATAGTAAAAAGGAATAGAGCTCAGGGGAAATGAGGTTGGGATAGACAGAGAGCATGCAAGCAAATACAGTCCTAATGAAAACACCAGCTCAGGGGCGCCTGGGGAGCTCAGTTGGTTAAACCTCCGACTCTTGATCTCAGCTCAGGTCATGATCTCACGGTTGGGGAGTTCGAGCCCTTCCTCGGGCTCTGTGCCAGTGGTGCGGAACCTGCTTGGGAACGTGTCCCTCCTTCCCCCTACCCCTCCCCAACTTGTATACATACTTGCTCTGTCTCTCTCTCTCAAAAAAAAAAAAACTTAGTTTAAAATTTTAAATGTTTAATGAATAAGCACAGCAGAAAACATAGTCCTTTCTTCAAAACAACAAAAACAGAAAGTTACGGTATCCTGAGGTTTCAAGGAATTGAGTTCTGGAGTCAAGGACAAAAGGCACAGATGGGGGAATCCTGCACAAGTAGTCCTTCCAGGACAGAGCCAGAGCTAGTGGGGAAACTGAGGCAAGAGGCGGGGCTTGGGGAACCCACGGGTGAAGGGCAGCACTATTCTCTGGAGCGCCTGGCACCAGGTCATCTGTGGTCAGCCTCTGGGCCACCTCCGGGCTGGAGAACACCAGTGCCCTGGGGAGTCCCAGGGAAGCAGCGATCAGCCTCTCTCACCAACCGCGCACGCGCTCCTTCCTCTTTTAGTAAGGTGTGCGAGAGCCAAGCAGGGAAAGGAGGAAACCGTACCCCCAAAACATTGCTGCTGCCAACATGCACCCTCTAGGAGGAGCCCAGTGACAGAAAGTGAAGCAGTGATGATACTAATTTGTAATTTCAGACCAGGAGAGGTAGGAGGTGAAACCCATGCCCGACCTGACGCACCCCTGCGATGCCCTTGAGCCAGGTCTTGTGACCCTGGCGCGAGCGTTTCATCCCTGGGGCAGAAGCGTGGGCAGTGTTGCTCCTTGGCCACTAAGTGGCCGCCAGTCTTCTCTGTCAAGCGCTGGCCCGAGACACAGTCCTCACTGAACTCCAGTAGCGCCCGATTTGAGCTTCCGGGTACCAAACCTCCATAACCTGCAGGGTGTTTCTAGGAAATGTCCGAGTCATTCTAAGAGTAGAGATTGTCTACGGAATCGCATTCGTTTGGCCTCAGAGCTGGAGACAGGCCTTGCTGTTTGCGGGTGCCCCGAAGCCGTCCCCGGGAACCGCACGGCCGCCACGTGGGCCCGGAGAGAGATGGCCTTGGAGACTTAGGTGTGTTCAGGCCATCATCCCAGCGCCGCTTCCATCCAGGACGTGGTAGGTGGACGGCCTTCCTCCACCTTCTTTGCTGCTCTGCCAGCTCGAAACGACTTTTTTCCTTTCAGTGCCACCTCTTTTATTGTCTTGTCGCTGTTTCTCAGGCACAGAAAAGTTGGTGGAGAGGGAGCCGAGAAGCAGTGTGATTGACCCTCACCTTGGGGTGACCCTGGTGATCCCATCCACCCTGAGGCCCCGTGCTGCTTCTTGGGATATGGCCACCCTGGCGTAAGTCGCGGCCTGGGTTTCGAATGTGAAATCTTCTAGTGTTTTTGTGGCCTTTTCCCACATATTTTCTTTCTTCCCCCCCAATCATAAAAGTAATTCTAGCTCTGTGTGAAATTTTGAAACAATGCAGGGATGTACGAACTATAAAAAGTGAATCTTCATGGTCACAACCCTGAACGACCAGTAAGAATGGCGTGTGAGGATCCTTGGAGATATTTTTTTGTTTGTTTATATATAAGCAAATACTAAACCAAAACCCAGATGTGGCGTACAAACGTGTTTCGATGCTACCCTCTCTTCAGGAAGCAAACGTCTACCAGACATATCCCTTTCCCTGCAGCCCGCTAGCCCTTTAAAGGTGCTTGTTCTGACACATTCTGTTATTATCAAATTCATTTTCCAGAGGCACAAAGGGAGCAGGATAATATAGATGGTGCCTCTTCTAAGAGCACTTCTGTGTTTCCCTCTTAATAATGCGTTACATCCTCTCCAGTCAGTAAATCTAATCTCAACCATTTTATATATATATAATTATATATATAAATATACATATATTTATATTTATTTAGAGAGAGAGAGAGAGAGAAAACGAGACTGCATTATGCGGGCCAGGGAGGGGCAGAGAGGGAAAGAGGGAGAATCCCAAACAGGCTCCATGCCCGATGCGGGGCTTGATCTCACAACCGTGAGATCACAATCTGAGCCAAAACCAAGAGTTGGACATTCAACTGACTGAGCCACCCATGAGCCCCAGTCATTATATTTTTTGTAACATATGTTGGCCCATTTAGTATTGTGACGCACAACATTCATGGGCACCAGAAAGTGTGTACAGTGGCCCCTGCTTATACATGCTGTAGTTACTTTGCAAATCAGCAGAGGTCTTACCTACATTAACATGCAGCACAGATGAAATTTACATCTAGTATAGATTTCGAAGGAGACTTAAAGTGTTCTTTCTTCCCTCCTTTTTTTTAGTTAGCATTTCTCAGCTCGATATATTCCCCCATCGCCCCCATAGTGTACCAAAGTGACGAGGGTGACCCAGAGTAGGCCAGCTACTTAACAGAAAGACTTCAGGGGATCCCAGAGGTTAATTTAAGAGAGCTCTTAAAGGCACCAACCACAAACCAGCCAAAAGTGAATTACTTTTGCCGGGTTTGAAAGAACGGTGGAGGCACTAACAGAGCGTGGATACAAATGAAATCCGCGATGAAAACCTACAAGCTCTGTACCCTGAGAATCGGCCACCGGTTTGCTTTCCCAGCATGCCGCGGAAGCATTTCTGAAGCAGGTGTTGACGGCCGTTTTCTGGTTTGTCTTCCGGTAACGGTCTCGGTGTCCTTTGTGCAGATGAAGGCAGCGAAGTGGAAAGCGAAATGGATGAAGAACTAGATGACTCTTCGGAACCCCAAGCCAAAAGAGAGAAAACCGAGCTGAACCAGGCATTTCAAGTGGGTTGTATGCAGCCTGTTCTCGAGAGCGGCGTGCAGCCCAGTCTCCTGAATCCAATTCACAGCGAGCACATCGTCACAAGTAGTCAGACTATCAGACAGTGCAGCGCCACCGGAAACACGTACACTGCGGTCTAGAGAATATTAAAGCGTGTTTTTCCAGCTAACATTACCCCTGTTGATATATTGGGCTTAAGGTGAAATTTTAATAAGCCTGAAGGTCGACTGTTGTCAAATTCTATCTGTGCTGAACATTACCTTTTTGGAGTTGTGAAATGGAATGGATGTATGTATTTTGCCAGGTCTTTTTTTTTTTAACGTAAAAAAAGAAATCATTTGCCTCTTAATAATAAGTTTTTTTTTCTTTAGTTTCAGGTGTCAAGAAGGATTTTTACCACACTTAATGCCAATATGTTTGTTTTCTGATAATTAAAAAGTAATTTACATTTTTTGTAGCTTAAAATATTTTATTGTTGATTGTTAGTCTTGGTGTATGATTTCATGTGTAAGTTTTTAATTAGATGCACTTCTGTGAAATATCAAAAGAAATGAATTTCTTTGATTTACACTGGAGGCAATGCCCATTTGGCAGCAGATGCATCGAATTTGCTTTTGAAAGGTGCTTTTCATTGGACAGAACCACTAGACGCGATTTCGATAACACTTTGGTGTTGGAGAGAGAGTACAGAGCGTTTTTATCCCTAGTGCTAGAGGATTGGGAAGGTCATCTGTTTTTCTCCGGAGGAAACAAAAAAAATGGAGCTAGTGCATTTATCTGTTCAGAGTAAATGACAGGACTGCAAGAGATTATGCTAATATGTACATAATTTGTGTACATAATTATTAAACCCTATTAACGCAAGCTTCCGTTAAACATTGAATTTTAACCGTTATTTGCATACCAATTCCTCTGTTTAAAGACTACTGATTCCGTATTTGGGACCACTGCACAGGCACATTCTGCTGTCGAGTGGGGCTGTTATAGTTACTGAAGCTGAAAAAGAAAAAATGACTTGACTTTTGTTTTGTTTTGTTTTGTTTGTTTTTTAAGTGTACATACTACTTAATGCTGAGCTGGACATACAGGAAACCATTCCATTTGGATGACTTTCTTTTATTCCAGGTCTTTTTCCTAATAGTAGTTCACTCTGCTGCTATTATAAAAGAAAATTTATAGAACGCAAGGAATGTAGCAACCTGCATATCGTTATTTCCTTCAAAAATATTTCCTGGTTTCTAAAGTGTGTGGATTTTAAATTTTGAACCGAACCTGAGGGCAGTGTAGCTGGCTTACCACACTGTTGCTTATCCCCGTTTCCGTAGGATTTGGATAGGTGGCTGGATGGGCCAGTGCCATTGAAGAATGTACATCAGGGATCATTGTACCTCGGCTATTACATGGTGCCTTAAAACAGAACTGAAGTTAAGGTTTTAGTAAGGCTTATTTTGTTCATGTGAATTCCTCCGCAATCCATTTGACAAGGTGTGCCTGTCCCTTTCTGAGTCCCGAAGTGAGGACAGGTTACGTGCTCTTCAAAGGAAATGTAGGGCGAACAAAGCGAAGCAGAAAGACAGAACTCAGTTCCCCTCTCGGAGTGCCAGCGGATATACTTTTTGTTCATAGAGCTGACTATGACTTTGATGACCCATCAGATTGCTTAAGGGCGTGGAACAGCGGACTAGTTTTTCACTACCAACTTGTCACGTACCATCACCTATGTCTTAGGCCGTTTTTATCTAGTTCTCATGTAAGAAAGTTGACAAAATAGTCAGGAACTTATCGAAGTGCATCTTGTCAGTCTAAGTGTTTGTGTCTGCGTCTTGGTGTCTGTGTGTCCACAGCACCCACTCGTGCCCGTGGGCGGGAGTCAGCTGCAAAGTCAGGTGAGGTCCTAGACAGGACACGCCCCCCTCGATCCCCCTGTTAATTGACATGAAAAGCCAAGGTTCTTTTAAACACTCGAGTTATTAACAACAACAACAACAACAGGCACATACATTCATTTTAATTGTTTTTAAAAAGCTAATCAGCAAAAATAATACATAAACACGTAAAGCCAAAAAAAAAAAAAAAAAGGCAAGCACAACACGATTTACAGATTGTTAATGAGGCCCCTGTTAAACTCAAGATATTTATCTTTCCAGTTTTATTGGGGTGGGGGCGCGGATTTGAAAGAAGAGGGTGAGCCAATCTGTAAAGTTAAAAATACCAAATGGCTTCTCGGGCTGCGAGGTGTACTTTCCCTCCAGTTGCCTGACTGCCTCACACTATTCACATAAGGAAGATCAACAGAGTTTCTTAAGTAAACTTTAAATGTTTTAGATGTAATTTTTTAAATGGACTCAACTTTTGTATGCCTCAGCTCACTCATATGTTTGAAAAGTCCTCACGAGCATCCGACCATCACCTCACCCAAATATCATTCAGATGACCATCCCTCTCATTTATCTCCCCAAAAGAGGTGATGGATTTACACCACCGCACGCACAAAAAGGCAAACACACAGAACACCTTCACCGTGAAGAGCCTGCACGCCTATCTCATTGTGCATTAGGGACCGTTTACAGGTGGGATTAGTTAGAACCACAAGAAGAAAAAGCCCCCCTTCATTTCAACTCTCCTTTCTGAGATGCTTCTTCGCTTTCCTCTCCCCGTCCACCAGCCCTAGGCCTGTGTTCCATCTGTATCAGACCAAACGTATTTGCTGCTTTCATCTTGTTTATTGAACGATTTTAAATGTATTTATTATCACTGTTTAATGTTGGGTGTATTTGTATCATTAGAGGAATCTGATCACAATGGGCAAATTTAGATTGATGAAAGGTAGGGATTGGGGACCCTCCAGGATTCAACATTTCTTCCAGTTGTTCATGGTTTGAATGAATGATTCTTACATTTCAGCTTGACTAACTAAAAACGTTCTGATCTCCTTTTTGAACACGGGAGCAGTCATCTGTGACCAGGGCCGATAGTTCTGAGCAACAGACAAAAGAGCATCTTCATTCTTTTCTAGTTCTGATGATCTGTCGTCCACAGTAAGACGGCACACACCCACCGTCGGACACAGACATCGCAACCAACCCTGAATTGGCATTGTGAGGTACATTAGAACATTCAGACCTCGTAATCTGTGCATTTGTGGATTATCGGAACAATCCCAAGTATTGCTTTTATTTGACATTTCACTTTTTTTTCATTCATTGAAACTGTGACTTTTCTACGTAATATTGACACTAATACTCTCAGACTAGATTTATTGACAAGTGACAAGTCTACACTGTAATGACTTCTTCACATTTCTTGACGTTGTAATCTAACCACTAGTCTTGGAAACTGTCTACACAGACCAAGTGCTACACTTCCAGCGAGGAAAACGTAAGGAAGGCATGTTGGCTATTTTTAAGTTCTAGAAAAGATACTTCCGTATAAGAGGATTGCGTCTCATGGGTATGGTTTGATCTTCACTTATACGCTTTGAGAATCATACCTGGAAGGTTTGCGTTCACGAAGCCAGTGAACAATGGGGTGAAATAGGGGAACCATCTCCTCGGAACACAGGGCCCAATTTTAAAATTTTTCTTTGGATATCAAACGGCTGGTCACTTTTTCAGGATTCTCATCCAGACCATGTTTGGACTGACTACTTTAAGTCTTACTGCCTTTTCAGAAATCTGCTTTCCTTTTTGTGCTTTTTCTTGTACTGTATAGGATGGTTCACGCACCTCTCTTTAGATGGTGTACTTTAAAAAACAAAAGTAAATTTTAGAAAATGGTGTTAACACTGCATACCCAAAATTAGTAGTGTGCCACGCTGGCTGCCTTTGGTTTGTAGTGGATGAGTAAAAATGAGCATGTTTCTTGCGGAATACGCTGTCAAATTCCTCTGGGAATGACTGCGGTTTCGTTACTGTAATCATGAACCTTTTTACGTGAATGCACTCTCGTGAAGTGCTAACCGTGATGCATTTTCAAATTTGAAAGAATTCCTCGGACGATATATTTGAAATGCCTAAAATGATGCTGTGCTTGAGACAGTAGCGTAAAAGGGAAAAAAGAAAAATGCATGTCACTGTGATGTTGGCCTTCCCCGGGTGGACACAAGCAGAAAGTAAACAACTTTGGCAAGTCACCTTCCTGTACAAGTTGAGGCAGTAGTTCAACACAGCAAATTGACCTTTGTTACAAGCTTCTCTCCCCCCAAATTCCTGGTGAGGAAGCCACTCTCAAAAAATCGAAATCAGAACTGACGCTCTCTGAATCACAGCAGGCCATGGGGGAGGGAGAGGGCTTGACGTGCAGTGCTATGAAAATTGGACTTGTCACTCGATCAGATCAACCTCCATGTATATGGTTAGAACAAATCAATGAATGGAATCCTAGTATTTCTGCAAGTTTGGTGATTTAAAAAAAAAAAAAACTGGAATAGAAGCATTAACTCAGTGCTTAGTTCTAGTATTAGAGAACCCCTTTGATGTAATGCCTTGTATTAACCCTTTGAGCATTGTAAGATATACAATGGGGGACAAAAGCCTTTCAGATCATTTATTTAGAGTTAGACCGGTAAAATATACTCTATATCCAAATGTCTAATTATGCTGTTTTTTTAAAGGGGGGTGGGGTGGGGGAGGAAGAGAAAGTGTTTCCATGCTGAACACTTGCATTTTATATACAGCTCTTAATTTTCTTCTTCAAGAGGGCTTGATATATTTATTCCCAAATATTCACTGCCATCTAAGTAAGTGTACTGTTTACAGAAAAAATAAATCAACTTTTCTAGCATCACATCACAACTCTAGGAAAGGAGAACAGGTACATGGGCCCGTAGACCTATGTCGTGACTGATCTCTGCACATTGAAAGTACCTAGATTGCCTTTAAAAGGTATGATGAAGAAAGGGTTACATTTCTTTTCTTTTTTCTTTTTCCCCAAAACAAAACAAAAAGATCTCGTTAATTTAGCTTTAGAAAGTACAGTTGTGAAGCGAAGCCTTAGGAAGAAATGAGTTCCAGTGGATGAAGCGAAGCTGAACTCTTTGGGGGCAGGTAAGCTCTTTGGAGTTAGATCTCTCATAAAATAGCGTTTGGGAACTTCATACAGGGCATGATCTTAATCTGTGCTCCAAACCTTTTAACACTTTGTCAGAAACGTAGACATAGATAGAATGGAGAGCA